TTTTTTACTAATGTTAAAATTGAATTGTAAAGTTAATTAAACATATTTTACAATTTTAAGATTAAATTATAAAACTTAAAACTTTGTAGTTATAAATTAATTAAAATCCAAATATGTAAATAGTCAACGGATGCAATAAATTACTTATTAAAAATAAAATGATAAAATAATTTATTAATAAAATATTTAATTACAAAAGATTAACCAAAAATAGTAGATAATCTACCATTAGATTTTTGATTTTTAAAAATTTTTTAAAATAAAATATTGCCACTTTGTTGACATGAGGGATTAATAGAAAATGTTTAAGGGAAAATTAGAAGCATCTCCAACTTTTTTTTACATTTCTTTTTTAAATAACAAAATAGTAGAAAGAAAAGAGGGATTAAATTGAGAGAAGGCGTATTTTCTCATTAGCAAGCTTACTTTCTAAGTTTTATTAAAAGATGTTTGCCAAGCAAGTAAAAGGGTTCTAATTTAAGTTTAAGGTTGCAAGTTTAAATATTTGTAAAAAGTTTACAATTTGTTTTTTACAATTGTTTACAATTTGTAAAACTCGTAAGGTTATAGTTTTAAAAAGGTTGTAAGGCCAAAATGGTTGTAAGGCGAAAGTATGACGAAACAGTTTAAAAAACGAAAAACAAAAAATATAAAGGGCGAAACACCGAAAAAAACAAAAATTCGGCGAAAGCAAAATATTAAAATATAAAGCGCATCCCCTTGTTGTAAATGAGGATTAGCTTTTAAGGTTTTAGTTAAATTTTGTATAAGGCTTCAAAACCCAAAATAAAACAGAAATATTGTTGACTTTTTAATATTATTTATTTCCAAAAAACACTTCCAAAAATATATAGTAGACATTTCCAAACAAATAATTTTCCATTAATATATAAAAATAAGTGCAGCGCGCCACGGCATTTTTTCTTTTATTTTTCGAATGAACCAGGAAATTGGAAGAGGCAGCTAGCTTGTATAAGCTAGAAAATATATATTTATTTCTTTTTGTCGGGTATTGAGAATAGGGTGAAAGCAGGGGACATTTTTTAAAGGAAGTAAAGGGGAAAAAATAGAGGGGAAAAATAGTAGAGAGTAAATTTTATAATGGCAAAAAAATTTTTTTTTATTTTTTTTTGAAATTGGAGAAGTTAAAAAAGCAAACAAATTAAAAAAGAGACTAGAAGCATTTAAAAAATAATTTAGAAAAAAATTTTTAAATTAACGAGAAAAATTTTCAGAAATTTTTTTCAGACGGGGATACAATATCACATCAACTGAATTTTAATGAAAAATCAAAAATTAAAAAATAGAAATGAGAAAATTTATTTTTGAGTTAATAAAACCGGAAAACGGAAATATATCTGAGAAAAAGCGAGAAAAAAAAAGAAAAAAATTTTTTTATTTCCATAAATTGACGTTTTCTTGTACTTGGATAAACACAAATGAAGCATAATTAGTGCAATTTAGCGCCTAGAAATGTAAATAAAAAAGGGAAGTAAAAAAATTGTGGATAAAAGATTTGCTTTGTTTTTATGTTATTTTATAATATTAATAAACGGAAGCAAAAAAAAGTAAAAAAAATTTGTTTCAGAATACTTCAAAAAATTATTATTACCTATTTTAAAATACATAAACTCAAAACATTTTGAAAATTCTGAAATACAATAGAACTTGAAAAATAATTCTTTGGAAATTATATTCTGATTTTTCAGAATTTTTTTTGTATTAACAATTATTTTAAGGATGCTTTTAATTTCATCCACCTATCATTCACCAAGCATTCAATTCACCTATTAATTCATTCAAAGATGATTCACCTTCAGCATTTAAAACGCCTAGACGGAAGTTAAATGATCTAAAATGTAAAAAGAGAAAGCCTTATTAATGCCCCGGTAGCTCAGTGGCCTCCTACACTCCGTTAATAAAGTATAAGCACCCCTAAATTTTTCTAAAAAATCCACAATCTCTAAACATTAAATGTTTTATTTTCTCCTACATTAACAGCGGTCCAAACCGTCAATAAAATTAAAGTTTCAGAAATTTTTATCGATCTAAAAATTTTAAAATTGAATTTTCTCGAAGTTAAGGTGTTAAGAAAGTATAAGCACCCCTGTAAAAATTTAGTTTCTACTTATTGTAAAATTCTACAAAAAATAATGGGGGGGGGGTGCTTATACTTTAGGGGTGCTTATACTTTATTAACAGAGTGTATAAGCGGTGAGCGAAAGCGCCTAGCAGTTAGGCAATAACTCCAAGAAGGCCGGAGGTTCGAATCCTGCTCGGTGGCTAAACTTTTGCTAGACTCTTTTTTTTATTCTGATTTTGTTTCAAAACATTTCAGAATATATTTTGAAAAATTATTTCAAGTAAAATTCCAAAATGGATAATATTTATAGATAATACTCTGCTTTTTATTTGAATAAAAAAATAACTATACTAGAATTAAAAATATTATATAATAAAATTGAAAGCATTGGCCAAAATAACAAAGAATCAAAAAAATTTTGCAGCAATAAAATACGAGAGTCCTTTGCTTTTCTTATATTTCTCTCGCAAACAATAAAAACCCAGAAAATGGGATTTTGAACAAAAAAAAATTTTTTTCCGTTGGGAAAATACAAATAAAAAAGAGAAGAATGGCATTACTTAGCTCTGTTGGGTATCTCTCTTTCCTTTTTATTTTTGCCTTTTTTGCCGATAATCCACAACAAATGCCGAATTTGCCGCCTCTCCGGTTTCATTCTTTTTTCATTTTTTTCTGTTATAAATATCTTAATATATTGAATTTGGTTTATTATTTAAAAATTTTTTTCGGAATAACTCCAAGTCTGTGTCTCAATAATATTTTTTTTGTTTCTCCCAGGGGATCTTTAAACGAATTTTTGTAAAAAAAATAAAAAAATTATTATTCATAATAATGAAATATAGTCTAAAAAAGGAAAAAAATTGAGAGAAAATGAAGGGAATAAATTTAAATTTTTAAATCTAATTTTTAAAGAAAAAAAATTGTTCAAAGAACGAAACATGAAAAAATTGCCAGTTTTCCTGTGTAAAATTTTTAAAAATAAATTTTAAAAATAAAATAAATTTTCCTGTGTAAAAAGGAAAATATTGAGAAAAATTAAATTTAAAAAAAATAATTTTTTGATGAATATTATTTTAAAACAGGGCTCCGATTCGTACTTTTTTAAAAGTATTGTACTTTTTTATCGACCTTCGTACTTCCGAAATTGAATTTGTACTTTTTTGAAAGTATGTACTTTTTTATCAACATTTTTGAAAAAACGAAGAAATCTGGCTTAAGGACCTCCAAAATTCTCAAAATTTTCGCCTGCGGCGCAAAAAATGGAAGAAATCTGGCTTAAGGACCTCCAAAATTCTTAAAATTTTCGCCTGCGGCGCTGAAAAAGAAGAAATCTGGCTTCTTAGGCTCCAAATTTCAAAAAATTTTCGCCTGCGGCGCTTCTCAATGGCAAACATTCAATGGACGAAGGAAAGAAACTCGCTTGAGGTTAAGACTGTCAGAGCTTTGCTTCATGTGACAGCAAATTTTGACATGTCATGCAATGAAATGCACAAAATGCTCAGTTGAAACAAGAAATTATTAGAAAAGATTAATTTAGGAGAGAAATATAAAAGATTGATCACGAATAAATATTTTCAAATTTAATTTTGAGTGTACTTTTTATTTGCAAATTTTCTCCCTATGTACTTTTTTTACAAGATTTTGATACTTTTGAGTGGCATTTTGTCGATCGGAGCCCTGTTTTAAAATATTTTTAAAATAGTAGAAAATTTTCTAAAAAAATTTTTTTAATTTTTAAAAATTCCAAAAAAATTTTTTTTTAATTTTGAAAATTCCAAAAAAATTTTTGTTAATTCCAAAAAATTCCAAAAAAAATTAAAAAAAAATATAAAACCCAAAGTAAACTCGAAAAACAATTTTTAAAAGTACTTTACTACCCATTTACTATTTTTAATGGCATTTTAAGGGCTTTTTTGAACTTTAAAAAGCCGTCTATTAAATAGATTAGTATTGACATTTAAATAAATTTTGATAAAAAAATAAATAAAAAAATTTTTTTAAAAATTTTAATTACATTAAAAAATCGAAAAATTTGATTAATTATTGCATTCCCCAATAAAAGTGTTATTTACATGAATATATTTTGACAAATCTAATGATGGATATGGCAATAGATTATTTTCAATGTCTGAGATTTGGTTGAAGCGAAGGTCCCAAAAACAGCCTAGAAAATTGAAAAAAATATTTTTTTTTTAATTATTGGATATTTGTGACTTTAAAAATTAAAATTTAATTTTTAAAATATTTTTACCAATAATGCTGGAAGCATCAGAAATTATATAATGGACAAGCGACCTACGCCCTAAATCTGCTGGGACGCCTAGAAATTTTTTATTTAATTTAAATATTTTTTTTATTCACCTCCAAAATATATTTGTAAAAATTCATTAGGAAAAAAATTTAGAGGTCCTGTATTTATTGCAAATTGTGTTGGAAAGTCATCAACGGTTAAATAAAATTTTTGTCCATATATTCCGATAACTAACCAATGAGATTTTGAATCAGAAACTTAATAACATTTTTTACAATTGTAAAATTATTTTAAAACCTAATTTACAGATTGTAAAATTATTTAAACTTGCTTTTACAAATTGTAAAAATAAATTTAAGCTTTTTTACAAATTGTAAAACAATTTAAACTTTTTTACAAATTGTAAAATTATCTTAAAACTTAGTTTAAAAATTGTAAAACATTCTAAACTTGTTTTTACAATTTGTAAAATAAGTTTAAAACTTGTTTTTACAAATTGTAAAACATTTTTAAAACTTTTTTTCAAATTGTAAAATTATTCTAAACTTTTTTTACAATTTGTAAAACATTTTGAGGCTTAGTTAACAATTTGTAAAACATTCAAAACTTTTTTACAAATTGTAAAATATTTTAAACATTTATTACAAATTGTAAAAATAATTGAAATTATTTTACAATTTGTAAAATTGTTTTCCGGTTTAATATTAAACTTCCGGAAAAAATTAATTTACCAATATTCATAGAATATAATTGTGAATAAGGCTCGTGCCCCTTTCCTAGTTGAACAGCTGCTCTTAAGCGCCCGCGCACTAATTCAAGAAGTATAAATGAATCATCGTCTTTATCACCTAACCAAAACATTGTTCCATCACTAGAAAAATTTAATTAATTTTCTTCCAAATTAAAAAATTTTTTTTCCACCTCTGATTTGTTGCAAAATGAAAAGATATTTCTCCATTTAATACAGAATTATTAAAATTGTTAACAGGCCACTGGCCAACAGATAAAAATGTGTTGGTTGTCTTGATCGCTATAGCCCTTCTACGATTACATTTTGGAGGGTCAGCATAATTGAAAGGACAAAAGTTTCGTTTGGAAAGCTAGAAAAGATTTTTATTTTTTTTATTTTCCTTCCGGAAAGGTTAAAAAATTTTTTTTGGATTTTTTTTATTTTTTTTTACATTCCGGAAGAATGATATAGTAATAAAAAATTTAACAAAATTAATAAAATTATTTTCACCCTTTTCCCATCATTATTTGCCCTCTCCATTCTACTAACACTTAAAAATGATGATTTAACATTATCCTCTTTAGAACAATTATTGTTTTGAGACAAAGAATCACACAAATTAAATTCACAATAATTACCAAACCACCCTTTTGGACATTCACAACGATAACCATTAAGCTTAAATAAATTTTAAAAAATTTAATTGGTTATTCAACCTGGTCCAAACATTTCCCTCCATTTAAACAACGCTCTTTACCTCCATTTTCTACACATTCATTAATTTGTCTCTCACATCTATTTAATTATTTTTAATTTATTTGAATTATTCCCAACCTTTCCCCAGCAAATCCACGTAAACAAATACATTTAAACCTTCCTTCATATATTAATTTATTTTCTCCCAATTTAACTATACATTTCCCCCCATTTCTGCAAGGATTTCCAAAGCAGGAATCTACTTGTTGTTCACAATGTTTTCCGTAAAAACCGGGCGAACAAATACATTTATATTGAAAGGGAGCTAAAACAAATAAATTAATTAAAATTAAAACATTCCGGAAACAATAAAATATTTTCCGAAAAGGTGGGGAATGTTTATATAAACATATTAATTTCCGGAAAATATAGTATATTCCGGAAACTATTAATATATTTTCCGGAAACATTAAAATATTTTCCGGAAACATTAAAATATTCTTCCGGAAATTCCGGAAGAAGTAAATAATTATTTATGGAAATATTTTAAACATATTCCGGAGAGACAAAATAATTTCCGGAAACTATATATTATATTCCGGAAATATTTTCCGGAAATATTTTTTCCGCTGTATATTATACATATTATACATTTCCGGAATAATTATGATAAATTAAGAAAAGAAGTAAATAATTATTTCCGGAAACTATTAAAATATTTTCCGGAAATTCCGGAAGAAGTAAATAATTATCTATGGAAATATTTTAAATACATTCCGGAGAGACAAAATATTTTCCGGAAACTGTATATTATGATATTACGGAAATATTTTCAGTAAATGTTTTTCCAATTGTATAATATACTTTTCCGGAATAATTATAATAAGTCCAGGTAGGAAGTAAATAATTATTTCCGGAATAATTAAAATTCTTTCCGGAAATCTTTTTTAAAATACATTCCGGAAAAGTTTCCGGAAAAGTAAAAACAAATTATTCAATTACAATTTTCTCCATTTTCCTCATCCACCACACAATGACCTCCATTTAAACACTTTTCTGGAGAACAAAAATTACACAAATCCTCATTAATATTTGTATTATTTAAGGTTGGGCAGGGCGCATAAGGTTGCACACTTAATAGAAGTTGATGCCGTCTTTCTGAAGGGTCAGAACATCGTGCAATACCTTAAAAATGAATTTAAAAATATTTTTAAATAAATTTTTCTCAACCAGGCTCTAAGAATTTAGATCTTAACCATTTAATAGCCCAATTCATTCCACAGTCACACAATAAAGGGTTATCCCCCAAGGAAACATGGCTAAGTGTTTGTTGTGTTTCCAATACAAATTTGGAAAATACAATTTCTGGTAATTTAGAAATTAAATTTGATTGAAGTGATAAAATCTGAGAGCAAAAAAATGAAATTTATTTTTAAATTTATTAAACTCTTAAAAGTCCAAGTCCATCAAATGCTCCTTTTGAGAGGCAACTTATACGGTTGTGTGAAAGCATTAAAGCATTCAAAGATTTTAGTGGGGAGAAGGCATTAGAAGGTATGTGTTCAATCAAATTATGAGAGAGATCTCTGAATAAAATATTTCGAAATTTTTATTTAATTATTTAACATTTGAACACTTATCTATTTAAGTTTATGGTCCCCTCTATAAAATAAAGGAGAATAAAATAGAAATTCCGGAAACATTTAACACCTTTTCCGGAGCAAGTTTCTCGTTAAATATATTCCGGAAAAATATATAGAAATTTCAGGAAAAATAATATAAACTTTCCGGAAAAGGGGAATATAGCTTTCCGGAAAAAAATATAGGAATATAGGCTATGGAATAGTTTCCGGATTATTAATACAAACTTTTCCATAGTAATTAAATAGGGGTCTACAAACTTAAGTATTACCTTAATTATTAAAAAATATTTTTAATAAATATTTTAAATAAATTTTACAATTTCTTAAGATGTTCAAGTCCATTAAAATTCTCTCCTTTAATAATTTTAATTTTATTATTATCAAGTAATAATTCCTCCGTATTTTTAGGTAAAGGCCACGGAATATTCACTAAAGAAGCATTTGAACAGTTTACTATAACTGAATTTTGTTTTCCTCTAAAATTATCTTCTTCTTCTCTTCTATGTCTAAATAAAAGCCTTCTTTTTCTATGCCTAAATCTGTGATTATTCAGATTTTTAGGTTGTTGTTCAAAATAATTATTTATTAAAGAAGTACATTTACAGCCAGCCGGGCAAAGTATTCCTTCCTCAGAACACGTTGATTCTCTTTGATCTTTTTTTAAATTTTTTTAAAAATAATTTCCATTATTTACCAGAACACTTAACATTTCTAAACTGCTCTAAAGACATTCCTTTTAAATTTCCTGGCCCTCCACACTTCGGTTCTTGCCTCCAACTTATTCCGCCTTCTTTTAATAAACTTTGCAAATTACAATCGCAAAGCAATTGCCCCCTTGAATCAATTTCGATATTTAAAGGTAATTTATTTATTATATCCTGCAGGAATTAAAAATTTAAAAAAATTCAATTTTTTTAAATTTTACTTTATTCAATATTATTGAATGTAAGCTCGGATTCTGTGTAATAGTCAATCTTCTAAGGGTATTAGGCAAATATTCAAGTGAAACACAATTAAATTCATTGCCATCCAAATGACTTAAAATTAATTTTATAAAAAATTGTTGTAGGAAAATGCTCAAAATGCTCAGTAATTAAAATTAGACATACAGTATCTCAAGAGAGCTATTTCTCTCATGTTCCAAATCTTCCATTTTATCAGTTCCATTATCAGCTGGTAGAGCCTCTAAAACATTCAGCCTATTTAACAAATTGTTGCGCAGATCTAGAACTCTAAGATTTTCAATACCGGCAAGAGAATTGTGTGCCATAAAATTAAGATTATTGTTACTCAGATTGCTTTAAAAAGAGAACAGGATTCAAATTAAATATAGAAAATATTTACAGAGTATGTAGATTAGTTAATTTATTAGTCCCCATTCCAAAGGCAAAAGGTTCTAGTTTTGTGATTTTGTTGTTTGATAGTATGAGGGAAGTTGTAAAGTTGGGAATTGATGTGGGGGGTGATAACAAGTTGAGATTGCTTAAAAATTAAAAATAGGTTGAATAATTAGATGGATCTCATTATAAAGACACACCCGTGGCCATGGAAAAAATTGTCTCCTAAAGAGAGGTATCCTAAATAAGGGGCATCACAAATTAGTCAATTCCTCTTATCCTCAAGGTGTTCTGGTACTTAATGTTAGTTCGAAAAACGAGATCTTACTGTAGATAAGAATGCCAACTATTCAAAATGTCCACCTACCTACAATCAACTACAGTCCCGTTACATTTACAGGGCTCCGGACATTCATTGTCAAGCAAACACTTTCCAGCACCTCCAGTAACTAGACTTTCAATACCCAAACATTTGAATTGTTCTACAGATGAAGTAACAACTCGACGACGTTCCATTCTTGTAGGGGAAGCACAACGCGCCCCGCTAGTTTCCAACGGGCGGGAACGAAGAAGTTTAGCTAGCCATTGAAGATTACAGTCACAAATTAGTGGATTCTTTGCCAGATGTAATATCTAGAGTGAAAATGATGTTAACATTATTTCAGCAAGTACAGGCGGTTTACTGGTTCAACTGCTGTACTGCTTGAATATACTGCTTGAACTCTATGAAACGATGTTCAACAAGTTCAAGTAATACTGTAAGGTGTTTTGGAAGTAAAGCGACAAGTTCCAAAGGTATTTTCAGCGAGTACTGCCTGGAGTTCACGAAACAAATTTAATCAAGTTCAAGCAGTACATGTAGAAGAAACTTAAATTTTGTCTTAAATTGACCTGAAGTGAATTTTTTAAAGAAGAGAAAGTTGTTTCAGTAATCGACTTTATATTGTTATCATAAAGAGATAAAAGCCTTAAATGTCCAAGTCCTTCAAAAATTCCATCTCGAAGGCATTTAAGCTTATTTCCATTAAGTAAAAGTACTTGGAGTGAATTTAGGTCTTTAAAAAGTTGATCGCCCAAATCTGTCAAATTGTTGGAGTAAAGCATTCTGGAAATTAATAAGATTTCTATGAAGAAGTTTTTTCTCAATTTACAAGGAATTAAGTTGTTTCAATCCTTTAAACGTTTCTGGGTATACAGAAATTATATTATTCTTGCTGAGATCTAGGCGTACAAGTTTAGGCATGTGAGAGAAGGAGTTAGCTTCTAATTGTGTTATTCTATTTTGCTCGAGTCTTCTAAAAAATAAATTTTTTATTCTCTTAAGTTATAATTGGATTAGGAATGGACACAATTCCAAACAAATGCAACCCGCTACTCACCAGGGACGGGCTCTCTTCCGTCTTCCGCCGAATTCCGCATTTTTGCCCTTCGGCTTCACGTTCAGTCTTCCGTTTTTTTAAAATACGGCAGGGCATCCCTGCCCCACACCACTAGATATACCTCTATTTAAAATACAATGTTGGTTGTGGGATGGGGGAGAGCCATATCGATACTCCAAAGGTGCACCTTATAGTGAGATTAAAGATGGGCTCTCTTCCGTCTTCCCCAGAATTCCGCATTTTTGCCTCTTCGGCTTCACGTTCAGTCTTCCGTTTTTAAAATACGGCGGGGTAATTCCTGACCCATACTACTAGATACTATTTAAAATACTCTTTTGGTTTGGGTTAAGGGAGAGATGCCATATCAATACCCCAAAGGTGTGAGGGGTTTGAATTCTTCATTATAAAAATTCAAAACAAACAATTCAACAGTATTTTGAGGCAATCCAACAGGCACAGAACGTAATTGTCTATCATGGCAATCAACAACTATATCTACCCCATTATTTATATCTGACACATTCCCCCCAACTTGAGTGCATGTACAGACTGAAGGGCATCCATCCATTTGACGGCATGTTCGTTTTGAACCTGTTACTCCTCTTTTTTCTAATCCGGAGCATTTTAATTGTTTTAGGCTAACTTTATCGAGGGAACGGCTAAACAGATAAGAAGGTCTATAGCAACGAATCTGAAATTTAATTAAAGATTAGACTGGACATCTTGATAATTCTACTTGATTTGCCACTTTTAGGCGTTTTAGCCAACGCATACGACAGTCACAATTCCATGGGTTATCTCCCAACTTTCTGAAATTCTCAATTTTTCTTTAAATTTAAATAAAATCTAACAAAGTGCGCAGCTTTGGAAGTGAAGCAAGGTCAAGTTCTGATAGGGAAGTAAGTGCTAGAAAAATCAGAAAAAAATCAGAATTTAAAAACCATTAGAACTAAGAGTAAGTTGCTCCAATGAAGGCCAATGATTCAATGAAAGAGAATCTAAACAATGTAATTGGTTCCTGTCCAAATTTAGAGTAACCAATTCTGTTGGGCCAATTATTTGTTCTGTGGAAATTGTCCAAAGCTCGTTTTGGGAGAGATCTCTTTTAAAAAAATAAAAATTAGAAAAATTAGAATTTAAAGTTTTATTTTGATTAAAGTTAAGAAAATCAGAATATTATTAAAAAATCAGAATTATTAGAAAATCAGAATTAAAAAATCAGAATCCAAAAATCAGAATTATTAAAAATCAGAATTAAAAAAATCAGAATTATTTGAAAATCAAAATTATCAGAATTTTTGTGAGAACTACATAAGAATTAAATAACATATCAGAACTAAAATCAGAATTTGTAAAATACTTATTTTTTCAGAATTTGTAAAATACTTAATATATTTTTCAGAATTTGTAAAATTAATATCAGAATTATTAAGTAGCTTTTTACATTAATAATAAATTAGGCTTAAATTTAAACACATATTTTAATTATTCTTTATTTTTATTCCCACAATATATTTATTGTTTTTATTCATCCTAAAAATATTTAATTAAATTATTGTTCTCATTAAATATTAATTCTTCAAATAATCCTTTTTTTTTTCTTAATAATTTTTATTTTTTTTTTAAATTTATTTTTTAAAAATAAATCTCCCTTCTTCCTTTATAATTTACTAACCTTTAAATATTTTAAAAAAATTTACTCTTTTTTCAACTTTTCAATTTTATTATTTATTTTTCAACATTTATTATTCCCCCCAAACAATAACAAAAATATTCACTATTAAATATTCGGAGTTGACGCCGCAAACAATTGGCCACAAATCAAACGCTAAACAAACTTTAGGGAGAGAGAGAAACACCTTTCCTCCCCAATCTCCTCTTCCCTCTCTTTTAGATATTTGATCGAAGAATTTTTAAGCTGGCCGATTTATCGCTTTTTTCCTCTTTTCACAATAATAATCGTCAAATAGCTGCTATTAAGGGGGACTTGCGACACGAAAGAGTCTAGGCAATATAACTCTATAATAAATTAACCTTTCAAAAAAGTTTTTGGTATCATTCGATAGAGAATTAAATTGGCTATAAAATGAAAGTTAAATTAAAATTTTATATCAAAAGGAAAAAAAGTTGTGGTCGAAAAACGGACATTTTAAGGTAATTTTTGTAGAATTTTCGTTGATTTTCGTCCGATAACTTTTTTGTTACTCAACCTAAAATTAAATTTTCTTTTTTTCCTAATAGCAAATTTAATTCTCTATCGAATGGTACCAAAATCATCTCGAAAAGTTCACCCTTTGCTGAGTTATAGGGCTATGACTCAACATGCTTCGGAGTCCCTTTATTTCTCTCATCCCTTTATTTCTCTCAGCATTAAAACGAGGATTTGAAGTGAATTGAAAAGAAATAAAATAAAATAGCAGATTTGACCATTTGACGACATTTGGGGTTAAAAAGTATTTAAAATTAGCAAGGACGGTGAAAATCTTTTTTGAAAAACGGTTGCTGCAATTTTAAAGAGCAATAAAAGATGAAGAAGATAATTAAAAGTAAAGAGCTTTGAAATTTTTTTAAAACAAACAAAACATTAATTTTACGAAGAATTAAATAGGAGAGGTAATAAAATTTATAAAATTACTCTTAAAAATGTTGTGTTTTGGTGTTACTATGATGTAAAACCCCTGTATTATTGCGGTAGCAGAGGTGGGTCGGAAATGACGAAGGTGCCGGAAATCGCAACTTACGGAAATTGGAACTGTCGGAAACCGGAAATAGCTCAAAAATCGGGACTCGGACCTATGGTCGGTAGCATAATAACCCTCCAGTTCCTAATCCCCTTTGTCTTCCTACTCTCTAGCTTAAGCCTTAATCTTGTACTAAGCCTTAATCTTGTGCTCGCCCGACTTGTTGAAATCTCGGACAATCCCCGAAGCTAACAAAAATAAGATTACCCCTAAAAATAATTTTTTCTTAATTTTTAATTGAATAATAAGGTAGGTAAATTAATTTTTAGCACCAATAACTTTTTCTCATGGCATTGCCCCCATACCTTCCAAATAACCAAAAATAAATATTTTTATTTTTATTTATGAGAAAGGAACATCCGTCAATCTACTCTAATAATTAGCGTAACTAAAAGACTTTTGACAATTAATGGGGGTTAAGTCCAAAATAGTCTCTTCTTGCTAGATCTTCAACCTTTGTCTCCCCCCTCCTACTTAGTCCATTATTACTCTTTTTTATTTTTTTAAAGATTCTTCCATCAGATTTTCTTCTTTATCCTTTAATTTCCTCCTTTCCCCATTCCTTTTTTACTTTTTTTATTATCAAGGCATTTCGCTAGCGATTTACGCGTGCCCCATTGCCTCCTCCCTCCCAATTAGTCTTTATGGGGAAATCAAAAATGTGGAAGAAATTTGTAAAAAAAAGTAAAAAATCAAAGAAAATAAAAAAAGAAATAAAAAAAATAATTTTTTGAGTAAAAACAAACAAAGCATTAGAGCATAAAAATAAATAAAAAAAATAAATCCGCGCAGTGATTTTTAGAAGAAATAAGAGGGGATTTAAAAATGAGGGAAATAAAAAGGTTGAAATTTAATTGGAATTTTATGCAGTATAACTTTCAGAATTACAAATTGTAATTCTGGTATTAATTTTACAAATTCTGAAATTTTAATAATATTTAAGATAACAGAATTATGACAATAATATCAGAATTCTGATTTTAATAATTATTAAAATATCAGAATAAATCAGAATTCTGATTTTAATAATTATTATAATATCAGAATTCTGAAATTTTAATAATAATTAAAATATAGAATAATATCAGAATTAAATCAGAATTAAAATCAGAATTCTGATTTTTAAAATAATTAAAAGATCAGAATTAAAATCAGAATTCTGATTTTTTAATAATTAAAATATCAGAATTAAATCAGAATTAAAATCAGAATTCTGATTTTTAAAATAATTAAAATATCAGAATTAAAATCAGAATTCTGATTTTTTAATAATTGTAATATCAGAATAATATCAGAATTAAACTAGAATTCTGATTTTTAATAATTATTACAATATCAGAATAATAATCTGAATTAAATCAGAATTTCGATTTAATAATAATTGTAGGATCAGAATAATATCAGAATTAAATCAGAATTCTGATTTTCTAATAATTATTAAACCAACAGAATTACCCCTATATATTATTCTATTTACTAATACAAATAAAAAAATAATGCCTGTTGATTTAAGAGGGTTTTTATTTTATTAAAGTGCCACTAAGTGTATACTCATTTAAATTAGGAGTAAATTTGCTAAAAGGATTTGGAGTGCTTAATAAAAAAATTTTTTTGTTTGTGGTTTTAATGAAAGGACAGCTAAAAAAATTTTTTTATAAAATAAAGACGAGAAATATTTAAAAAATAAAATTATTTAAACTTACAATCTTCTCAATAATTTATTAAATTTAAACAATCCAGTAGCAGGTAAAGAACGTAACCGATTTTTATCTAGTCTGAGGCGTTCCAAAGCTTGTAAATTGTCAAAAACATTATTTTCTATTTCTTGGATTAAATTGTCTCCTAATAAACTTTAAAAATTTTTTTAATAAAGAAAATAAAATTTAAAATACTCAACAGTGTGCGCAAGTCGTTTAAACCGATAAAATCATCAAAATAAAGTTTTGTAATTCGATTGCCTTGTAAATCTCTTAAATTAATTGAATAATACATATTATTCTGATTTTTTATTTTGAAAAATTCTATTGCATTATTTTACAAATTCTGATATTTTTTACAAATTCTGATTTTTAATTTTTACAATTTCTGATTTTCAATAATTACAAATTCTGATATTTATTTTTCAAAATTCTGATTTTTATATTTTACAAATTCTGATATTAATTACAAATTCTGATTTGTATTTTATATTAAACTTAACAGAATTAAATATCAGAATTTGTAAAAAATTAAAAATCAGAATTTGTAGAAAATAAATATCAGAATTTGTAAAAATTACAAATCAGAATCCAATTTTATTTCTAACAAATTCTGATATTTAATTCTGATTTTTAAAATTCTATTATTCACTTACAATTTAGTAGTATCATTAGGTATTGTTTTAGGTACACGTTCTAAACCCAAACCTTTGCAGATAACTGTAGAATGGGCACAGAAACAATTTTTAGGACATGAAAATTTTTGTTTTTGATTAATTTGGGAACTAAATTTTTTTTCAAATTAATTTAAAAAATAAAAAAAAATTATTTTTCCACCCAAAAATTGACGAATTTCCACCTCTATTAACTTGCTCTGATTTTCTACTATTAATTAATAAAGGTATAATTAAAGCAGCTGACGCCAAACTGAACAAAAACATTAGAAAAAATAATAATTTTGTTGGAAAAATAATTTGCAGGCCTTTAGGCATCTGCTTCTTTTTGCCAATATTTTTGGAAAAAATTTTGTTGAAAATTTTTGTTTTTTATTATTGAATTTTTATTTGTATACTCAATAGATTGAGTAAATGGAGCATGCCTAAACATTACCCAAATAACTGAAAAAATTAAATATATAATTAAAAAAATATTTTTTAAACTATGGGAGGTTTTTAACTATAAATGTGTAAAATAAAATAATTACATTTCTTATCTTACATTTCTTATCGAGATATGAAGTGTTTAGAAAGATTTGGAGAAGATATCGAGGGATTAAGGCGGATTAGGGGATATAAGGGGGATTCGACGTGATATCGCACTTAAACTCCCGCTCCAAATTTGTGTTGCTCTAAATTAAGGTTTGATCTAGATTCAGAGTCGATAGGCATTCAGGGATGACCCTGCGGCCACTTAAAAGATTAATATACTCAAGAGTAATCTAATCCAAAATAATATTTTTTGATTAGAAATAGATGAAAAATTAAACTAATTTTTAACACTATAATTAAAGTAAAAAAATTAAAATAATTAATAAAAATTCTGATAAGCCCAAAAATATAGACAAAAAATAATCGGAAATGAAAAATACAAATTTGTTGAAAAGATAATGGTCATCAAAAAATAATAAATAAATTGAGTGGGTCAGTAATAATAATTGGGGGAACTAAAAATTTTTCTCTCTCTCAAGTAGACAAATCTCTTCTTTATTCTCTCCATCATCTTCAAATAAATAAAAATAAAAAATATTTTTTTCCTCAACTGGCCGTCTTCCCCCTATTCAACAATGGTGAAGCCACGCCCCTTTTAACTCATAAAATTAATAAAATTAAAAAATTAAATTAGAAAATTGTTAATTAATTTAAAAGAATATTCTTTATTAATATAAAAGTATTACATCAACATGAAAAAAATCCTCTAACAGTGTAAAACATGAGCCCGAATTTTTTAAAAATAATTATAATTAATTTAGGGGTTTTATTTCAGACATTATAACTTTGAAGTAATGGAAGTCTACTAATTCGGTACAACATTTTTAGATACAGCTTTTAATGCTGTTTAATATGAGCTATAGCTTGTCTATATCCTAGAAGATTTTTTGAAAAATTTTTGTTTTACCCCATCCTTAGTTAGGGGCTTATTAAAATATTTTTAAAACTAAATTCACTTTCCATATTTAAAAATGATTTTTTTATTAAATTTTCTCGTATAAAGAACAATTTAGATATGTAAATATTTTTTTTCGGTTCATTTTCTTACGATTTTCTGTGTTTTTTTCAAGAATTATGCATGCCTTCCTTTCCTCAAGCTCCATCCCTCCCCATTCTTTAAACAACAAAAAAAACTTTTTCTTTAAAGTTGTGTGTTGTCATGGTATTTTAATAATAATAATAAAATAATTTTTTAAATATATTTTTTTAAATGTTCTCTTTCTCTCAAAGATTGTAATTTACTTGGAAACCTTTTCAAGTCTTAATTTTCACACATCTACCTATACATATAAGTAGTACATCTAATATTTTATTTAACTAAAATTTATCATTTTATTTAATTTTAAAAATTCATATAAATTTAAAATTATACATATTGCTAAAATTAATTTAAAAAATTAATTTATTAATAAATTTTAAAAAATATATTTTTTTAATAAAAATGCCTCCAACAGACAGAGCGGGTGGAAGCACAAAACTCTCAGTTACTATTTTTTTCTATTATTTTTAAAAAAATTATTAGTCCTTTAAAAAATTATTTTCCTCGAAAAAATATTTTTTAAATTAAAAATTAAATTTTTAAAATAAAGGTCTTTGTACGTGTTCGACCTCTCGATTTGAATAATCGAAACAAGGGAGAATTTGAATGTATTAGTGTTGTTGATGATAAGGTGCCTTGACTAGTTAATTATTTAATTATTTTCAACTTTAAAGAGACTTCTCCTCGTCGACCCCGACAAATTTTCTGCAGACCCTTTAAGGCAAAATAGGGCCCAGGAAAGATCATTTAATTTTGACAGAGTTTTTGGCCCTACTTCTTCTGAAATTGATGTCCAAGAGGAAATGAGGAGCAGTCAAGGATTAATTGACAATCTTGTTCAGTTTGGGAGGAATGGGACTGTGCTAGCTTATGGACCTACAGGTTTTTCGGTTCTTGTTTCGAGTTTCGTGTTTCGCCTTCTTTCGTCTTTTATTTTTTTAATCCGTTAAAAAAATTTATCATTAATTAATTTTTAAATTATAGGAACAGGCAAAACCCACACAATGGTTGGAACAAGAGAAAGGCCTGGTTTAATGACGCAAATGACTCGGGCGCTATATTCACGGCTGGGAGAGATGGGTGATCGTGAAACGAGAGTTTTTATTTCTTTCATGGTAGGTGGAAAGAAATTTTTTCTAAAAATAAATTCAAAAAATAATTTAAAGGAATTATATAATGAAAATATTCGTGATTTGCTAACACCTAAAGGAGGACCTCACTTGGACCTATTAGAAGTAACTAAAAAAATTTTTTTTAATTCGAAAACTTAAAAGGACAATCACGGAAACGTTCAAGTTCCAAGTTTGAGTAGAGTTCGCGCACCTAATAGCAACAGAATATTGCAACTTTTACAGGAAGGAAATAGTAGGAGAACACAAGAGGCGACAGGGGCAAATGCGTAGGTTTATTTTTAAATAAACTTGAAACAGGAAAATAAACTTGGAAAAACACAAACTTGAAATATACGAGAGAATTGTAAAATAAACTTGAATTGTAATTACAGAATTGTAAAAAAATAAACTTGAAAAGAATAATATAAAATAAACCTGAAATACAAAATAAACTTGAATTGTAAAATATAAAATAAACTTGAATTGTAATTACAGAATATTAAAAAATTAAAATTGAACAGAATTTGTAAAATAAACTTTAAATTGTAAAAATAATAAACTTGAAATAAATAAACTTGATTTACAATAACACAACTAATTAACAGAACTTCTTCCCGTTCACACGCCCTTTTACAAATTTCTCTTATGCGTAATGAGCGGGAACGAGGAAAATTATTTTTAATTGATCTTGCCGGTTCTGAAAGAGCTGCACACACCCAAGTTTCATCATTTTTTATTTATTTTTAATATTTAAAAATTTAAAAAGAATCAAGGACAACGTTTAAAAGAAGGCGCAGCCATTAACCGTTCTCTTTTAGCACTTGGCAACGTAATTAATGCTTTAAGTGCCGCTCAGAATGGAAGGGGACGGGCTACTTTTGTTAATTATCGTGACTCTAAATTAACAAGATTGTTGAAGGACTCGTTGGCAGGTGGAGCTGATGGGGCAAAGACTGTCCTTATTGCTCATGTTACTCCATCATCTGTTCATTATGATGAAACTTTTAATACTTTAACGTAAGGAAATAATTATGAATTTATTTTAGATTACCCAAAATAAAATTATTTTGAAGAAAAGAAATTTTTCAAGAGGAAAATAATTTTTATTTCAGTTATGCAACTCGCGCATTAAGCATCGACTTGAGGGTACTTGCCTTACAATTAGAATAAAAAATCATAACAAATATTAATTTATAGCAATCACGCCCTCGACGTCCAGCATCTGCTGATCGTTCTTATTCTGATGCTCTAGCAACTCTCCGAGCTGAAGCACAAAAGGCCGGGAGACTGGAATTAGGAGGAGGACATAATGCTTACAATTCCACTGGACATTGTTCTCTCATTTTTATTTTTAAAATTAATTTAAAAATTATTTAAGTAGCCGATGATTATGTACAAAGCCCCAAAAGGAGAGGAAATGTCCCTAATTATGATAATAATAGAAGAAGAAACACTTCCCCTCCCTCTAATCTACCCCTAGTAATCCCTCCACTGGCTCTACACAATACTAATGCTACAAACACAACAACAAACAAAAGAAACACAAATACACAACAACAAGCTGTAAAACTTCCAAAAATTGGGGGAACATTGTTTGATTCGTTGAGAGAGCAACATTTGGCGAGTGCTGAGAGACAACAGAGATTAAGGCAAAAAAATAAACTTGTTTGTAAAAACACAGAAAAATACAACTTGTTTGGGAAAAATACAAGGAAAATAAACTTGTTTTACAAAATTACAATTTGTAAAAATACAACTTGTTTTAGAAAACAAAAATAAACTTGTTTCTGAAAATACAAAAAACACAGTTTGTAAAACACACAAAAATAAACTTGTTTATTAGAAACACAGAAAAATACAACTTGTTTTACAAACACACAAAAATAAACTTGTTTTACAATCATAAAAAATAAACTTGTTTTACAAAAACAAAGAAAACACATTGTTTTATTTAGGGAGAGATTGTTGCGCGCAAATACAGAAGCATTCGAACTTGAAACACAAAAACAGGCACGTATCTCAATTCTCGAAGCTTATGAAGGCCAAAAGGATGAGAATGAGGAGAGGGAAGATAATCAAATAATTAATTCTGGGGAACGTTTACAAAAGGCTGTGGAAAAAATGCGTACAGAATTGGGGGAGATTGAGCGTCGACATTCAGTGTTAATGGAGAATCGGCACAAGTTGGAAGCGGCTCTGCGTAAAGGAGAACAGAACATGCGTTCTATTGAAACGAGAATGAGGTAACTTCAGAAATAAACTTTGGAAAAAATACAAAAAATAATTTAATTTAAGAGCCCAAGCCAAAGAGCCACAACAGATACAAGTAATTGAATTGCTTAGTGTTTTGGCTAAACAACAGGCAGAAAGTAACAAAATTGTATTCTTATCATTATAAAAAAATTTATTTTTTATCAAAGGAGCAGCAATTCACTCTGATTTTGCTATTCAAAGTCGTCGACTACGACGACAGGAAAGTGCATTTAAGCAGCTTAGACGTTACGAACGCGTTGCAGATTTATTAATAGGTGTTGGAGGAGAGAAGGTTGATGGAGGTAGTAAATGAGAGAATGATTTTTAAAGTCCTTAAAAAAATTTTAGACGAAGAACGTTCCCAACTCTTTCGAGAATATCGAATATTAAGAAGTCAATTAAGCAAATTACTCGAACAAAATTCGATTAATAATGGTATACCCTCTTGGAATGCTCAAATACTTGAAAGATTAAATAATGGGGAAAGAAATATAGTTAATAATACGAGTAAAACTGTTAATAATGGAAAGAGAAGAGATAGTGAATCACCCCCAACTAAGAGGTGCTAAATTACAATTTGTAATACTTTAAAGTTTAAAAATTACAATTTGTAAAACTTTTTACAATTTACCAACTTTAATGTTTTTTTTAATTTTCTCTAGCAATTTCGGTGAGACATTTATAGTATCTAAACAAAACAATAATCAAAGAAGTGATATTGAATAAACACCAACTTTAATACAAAAACTTTTTTTACAATTTGTAAATACTTAATTGTAAATACAACTTTATTAATAAAACTTTTTTTACAATTACAATTTGAAAAATACTGAAAAATAAACTTGTTTATATCTATTTAATTGTAAAATACAAGTTTAATATTTAAACTTTTTTTACAATTTGTAAAATACTATTAATTCAAGCTACATATTCAAGTTGCATACAAACAAGTTTTAAAAATCAAGTTTTACAATTTGTAAATTTTACAAAACCTGTTTTACAATTTGTAAAACGTTGCTTCTTGTTTTGTAAAATATTATTCCAACCTTAACTCTCGTAATAAAACTTTTTTTACAATTTGTAAAATATTATTTTTCTATTAATAATTGTAAAATACATAATATTATGAAACTTTTCCTTAACTGTCTGGAAATAAAAAAAGAAGAAGAGATTATTCATACTTTACAATTGTATTTTTAATATTTATTACACTCACATTCTTTCCTTTTTTAATAGATAAAAATAAAAATTCTTTTTCAATAATTCCCATATTTTTAAAAATGTTTTTAGTCATTTTATTTTTAATTTTACTTCAACTTTGCTTTTAATATATTAGCTTACGAAAATTGCGATGTAAAAAATAAATCAATTTCTTTTGTTGATTTAACAATACTTATGGGATATACTTAAGTATTTGTAAATAGGGCAAAATAAATTTATATTATTTAATGTTTGCGATTTGCGTATTTTTTGCTTTGCGCAATTTATTTGTTAAATTAAAATATTATAAATTTAAAATTAAATTTATTTTTATATTTATTAAATAGATGCAGATTTCTTATATCAATTACAATTGTCGGTTTGATTATTTTATCTTTATTTATTTATTTCTTTTACAATTACATTCATTTTCTTTATTCTCAATTGTTTTACAAAGTAAGATAATAAATATAACAAAGTTTACAACATGTATTACAAACAAATTTTACAAAACAAGTTTTACAATTTGTATTGAAAACAAGTTTTTAAAACCAAGTTTTACAATTTGTAAATTTTAAAAAACAAGTTTTACAATTTGTACTTTTTCAAACACATGTTTTACAATTTTTAAAATGTTGCTTTTGTTTTGTAACAAGTTTGCAACTTAATTCATGTTGTATTTGTAGTCAACATAAACTTGTTTATTTTAAAGTTGTAAAAATAATTTAAGTTTGTAAAAATAGTTAAGTTTGTAAAACAAGTTTTAATTCCTGAAACATTAATACAAACAGTTATATTTTCAATAGGAGTTGAAGCAACCTCGGAAAATGAATACCTTCGTCCATGTTACTTTACAAATTGGGCCCAATATCGTCAAGGGAGGGCCAAATACTTACCCGAACATTATATTCCTGGTCTGTGTACACACATTCTCTATGCTTTTGGTTGGATAAATGAAGACGGGACAGCTAGGCATTTTTAAATTTAAATAAACTCAAAAATTATTTTCCCATTAGAGCGTATGATCCTGCAGATTTACCTAGCGATTGGCAACCTAAAGGGATGTATGCGCGTGTAAACGATTTGAAGGTGGACTTGATATTCTAAGAAAAAAATTTTTCTCTTTCAAAGAAATCCGATCCAACATTAAAAACACTTCTTTCATTCGGCGGCTGGTCCTTTGGTACTCGTCTTTTCCAACAAATTACATCCTCGTAATAAATATAAATAAATTTATACAAATAAAATATAAATTCCAGTCAGCAAAATCGTCAAAAATTTATCAATTCTGCAATTGCTTTTGTTCGTTTACACAATTTTGATGGAGTTGATATAGATTGGGAATATCCTAAAGGAGAGATAGACAAGCTCAATTTGAATTATTTTTTAAAGGTGGGGGGTTTTAATTTTACAATTGTAAAATTAAAACAAGTTGAGAAACATTCCTATTTTACCAAACAAGTTTATTTGTGTTTTTAAGTTTAATTTAAATTGTAAAACAAGTTGTAAAATGTTTGTTGCGATTAAAACAAGTTTATTATTTAAGAACAAGTTTAATTGTGTTTTTAAGTTGTTTTTAAGTTTTTGTTTTTAGGTTTAATATTATTATAAATTTCAAAAACCTGAAACTAAAGTTGCAACATGTTTGTACTAAAATTTATAGTATTAAAACAAGTTTATTCATGTTTTTGAGTTGTAAAACAAGTTGGATTTGTAAAATAATAAAATAAAATTCGTAAAATTAAGGAATTCAAAGATGCAATTTCCTCAGAGAGCGTAGCCAGTTACAAACCAAAATTACTTTTAACAGCTGCTGTAGCAGCCGGAACAGAAAATATAGATGCTGGTTATGATATTCCAACAATTTCAAAGTCCTTTTTTATTTAAATATTTTTAAAATAATTTAATTAGGTATTTGGATTTTATTCTTTTAATGAGTTATGACTTTCATGGGGCGTGGGAACAGAAAACAGGAATGAACGCTCCCCTATATGGAAGAGCTACTGACCCGCCCGAATTAAAAAATTGGCATGTTGTGAGTTAAAAATAACTTTTTTTGGTCAATAAACACCTCAAATTCTGTTAGTCTGGCGCCGCAAATTATTGGTTTCACAAAGGAATGCCCAAAAATAAAATTATTGTTGGAATTCCAACATATGGTAGAGGATGGACTTTAACTCATCCAGATAATCAGAGAGGATTGGATGCTCCAGGAAGTGCTGCTAAACCAACAAAATATGTTCAGACAGGTGGTACTGCTGCTTACTATGAGGTGGATTTATTCTTGTATTTTTGTTGTGTTTTTTGTATTTCACAATTGTAAATAAAATTAAAATATATTCAAGTTTTGCGAAATGTTAGCTACCGGAGCTGAGCATCATTTCAACAAAGAAATGCAAGTTCCCTATTTGATTTCTGATAAAGACCAATGGTTTAGCTATGAAGATGTTAATAGTGTTCGAATAAAAGTTTAAAATAAATTAAATTTAAAAATAGTATATAATTTTAAAAGATTAATTGGATTAAACAAAACCAATTTGGAGGAGCTTTTGTGTGGACGCTTGACTTTGACGATTTTAATGGGCTATGTCCAGATGCCCAACATCTAGGCAAATACCCCTTAATTGGGGCTATAGCTAGCGAATTAACCAACAAAACGATTAATACTAAATTAATACAACCTTCAATCCTTCCCTCCCCCTCCCCAATCGCACCAACAACAACTTCAATTTCACAAATATCTAATTGTAGCAATATAAAACCTGTAAAAATATTTTTAAAAATTAAATATTAATTTAATTTTTAGCCTTCTAATAATAATAATAATTTTTGTGTTGGCAAAAAAGATGGATTTATGCAGCTACCTCAACAGACTCTTTCTGCATTGTATTTACCAGAAGAATTTTTACTTTGCCTTTCTGGTAATATAAATTTTACAATTACTATAATTATTAAAGTTTGTTAAATCAAACTTAATTTGTAAAACAAGTTGGAATTTATTTCCAAGTTTAATTAAAGTTGGATTTTAAAATAAGTTGTAAAACAAGTTTTCAATGTTTTAATTCAAGTTGTAAAAATTCATATTTATTTTAAGTTGCATTTTCAAGTTGTAAAACAAGTTTATTTTTAAATTAAACTTGGATTACAATTCTAAGTTTTAATTCAAGTTTAATTGTAAAACAAGTTTTAAAACAAGTTTTACAATATTTAATGTTTTAATTCAAGTTGGAATTAAATTCCAATTGTAATTGTGTTTTTTAAATATTTTTAAATTATTTAAAAACACAGGCAATGCATTTCCAATGTGGTGTCCTAAAGGATTACATTTTAACAGCAATTATGGATTTTGTACATTTGTAATTATTAAAAAATTGTTTTTATTTATATTAAATTTTTATTTAGCCTCCACACACTTCTTCACCCCCACCAAAGTTTCCATTTCCCGAGCATCATTCAAAACGAACTTTAATAAATACACAACCTAACAAAAAAAGTTTAAAAATTATTTTTAATTCAAATTTGATTTTTAAAGAATTTGTCTGTATTTCTGATGGATTTTTTGCAGATCCTAATAGTTGTGTGCATTTTTATCGTTGTGTTGGTACAACTGCTTACAGGTAAATGTTTAGCAAAGTTGTGTGTTTTATTAAAAATGTTTGTGTTTTTGTAATTTATTTAGTGAATATAAGAGTTGCAAAACAAGTTGAAATGTTTATAAGAAAACCAACTTGTATTTCAAGTTGTAAAACAAGTTGGAATATATTTTTACAATTTGTAATAATAATTGAATTTTATTAAACTTGAATTTTACAAATTGTAAATAATTTTTTAAATAAGTTTTACTTTTTTAATCAAGTTTTACAATTTGTAAATTAATTAGAGTGTATACAACAAAGTTTCACAAATAAGTTTTACAATTTGTAAATTGTAAAAAATAAACTTGGAAAAAATAAACTTGGCAAGTTTAATATTGCCAAGTTTTACAATTAAGTTTAAAAATGTTTTTACAATTTGTAATATTTAAGTTAAATTTTATAATTTTAAATTAACTAGATTTGATTGCCCTCCCGGTCTTTTATTTAACAAAAAGCTTCTTTTATGTGACCGTCCAAATGATGTAGTTTCTGATGGTGATTATTATGACTGTGTTTGAATAAAATAAATTTAATGTCCTGTGATCTCTTTAAAAAATTTTTTTTTGAATTTTTTTTTGAATTTTCTTTTAAATTTTTTAAATTAAAATAAATATTTTATTAATTAAATATTTTTAGTTTTGTTAATATTAGCTTCCCTTATATTAAAAAAATTTTTTTAGTGCTTCATTTAATTTTCTACTAATGCCAGCCACCTCAGAGTCACAAGATTTAATTATTAGCTCTCTAAATAATTTTAAGGTCGAGACAGTTTTCCCTTGTTTTTTAATGTCTAAAAGCCCCCCTTTTTCCTTCAAAACTAAAAAAATTTTCCTCATTTCCCCAACCAATTCGTGCCAATTTTCTTTTAATTTTTACCTTCTCTCTTCGCGCATCAAGTCTTTTATTGCCAGTAAAGCAATTAAAATAAATATGCACTCTGTAATACTGGGAAAATGAACCGCGCAGCTGCTAACAATTTATTAAGCTTTCTCTAAGCCTTAAAAACAAATTTTTATATATTATATTTTTTCGCATGATTTATTTATTTTTATATTTATGTCTGGGATAAAAGAGAATATTTTTAGGTATAAATATGTTTTTGTTTTATGCCTAAGAGGAACTAAATTAATAATTATAAACCAAAACAAAAATAAAATTTTTTATTTTTAAATATCCGCTTGTTATTCATAAAACACTTGGGAAACTAAGAAATTTTTTCAATATGTTTTGTAAATAATTTTTGAAATTATTTAATATAAGGAATGAATTTTGGGCCCTATAATGGTCTATTTTACTTAATTTTTTGTTTTTACTCAGAGTTGGGTCGGAATTCCGATTTCCGAAGAAAAATTTGATTTTCGATTTCCAAGTTCCAACTTTTGAGCCACTAAGCAAGTTGTAAAACATGTTTTATTATTTTTTCTGTCTATTTTTCCAACCTCTCCCCAACCTTTCCTCAATTTTTTGTAATATTTGTAAAACAGAAAAGTCACGCACAACTACAAAAAAATACGCCTTCTTAAATATAAACACCTTTATTAAAAAAAATTTTTTTTCATTAAATATCAGACTAGCTAATTGAAGAAAAATAAATTAATTAATTAAAAATGCCCTCAAAATCAAGCTCCCCCTCAAATAATAATAAAGATGAATTGCCTTCAATAAATTGGTTTTTAGACTTGTCAAAGTCCAATTTATTTAATTCAAATATTAATAATAATTTTAAAAACAATTTTAGAGTAAGTCGAATTTAAGTTTAAAAAATTTTAAAAATTTATTTTTTAGACCAAAAAAGGCAGCTTAAACTTGAAGAAACACACCAAATTTAATAAAGTTATAAATTCAGAAATTAAAGAAAATAAAAATAATGATCGAATAATTAAAAAAAGAAGTGTTAAAAATAAAAATAATTTAGAGAAAATTTCAAATAATAATATTTTGTTATCTCAAGAACAAAATTTGAACCAAAATAGCCAACAAATTAATCAAGTTTATGGTTATTTTTAATTTAAAAATTTTAAAAAAATAATTTTAAAGATAACAATGCTTTGGAACAGGAAAACAAACAAATAAATGATTTTAATAATTTTAATAATCAGAGCAATTTAATTAATGTTAACCAAACAAGTGAGAATTATGATTTTCAGTCGTATTCGTTTTATGACCAGTCAATTTATGGAATTGACAATTTTACAATTACAAATAACCAATTTGTAAGTTTGTAAAACTTTTTTTTAAAACATGAATATTAATAACCCTTTCAAGTTTATTTTTACAATTTGTAAAAATGCTTTACAATAATAGTAAAACTTGACAATATAACTAATAAACATTCCAAGTTTATTTTACAATTTGTAAAAACAATATAAACTTTAAAGTTTATTTTTTACAACTCTAAGTTTATTTTTTAAGTTTTATTTTTTACAATTTGTAAAACCTTATTGTAAAACTTAACATAAACTTTCAAGTTTATTTTTAGAATTTGTAAATGTTTTTCAAACAGTTGTAAAACTTGACATTATAATAAACATTTCAAGTTTATTTTACAATTTGTAAAACCTTATTGTAAAACTTGACAATATAATAAATAAACTTTCCAAGTTTATTTTTTTACAATTGTAAAATTTAATTTCAAAACTTAATTGTAAAACTTTAATACACCTTCTAATTTATTTTACAATTTGTAAACCTATATTCCCTAATTAAGGATTATTTAAATGCTGGATTTAATACACCTTCTATTAACTGTTTTGGAAGCAACTTTATTACACAGGAATGGGACGACGAATTATTTCAGAATTCTGGAAACTTGTTTTAACAAGTTTTAAAGTTGATTTTAAGTTGTAAGGTGCTTAGAATACACATTAATGTTTTGATTCAAGCTTTTTCTTAATTTTTATATTTTTTTCAATTTTTTAATTAATTTAATATTAAAAAAATAAAAATAATTAAACAATAGGATATTATATCACCCATATTTTCTTTCTTTAAAAATGGAACTGAATTGAAACAAAAAAATAATTGAAGCAGGAAAACGAATCAAAAAATAAAAAATCTAGGTGGATTGACCTAGTTTAGATTATAATTTATTTATATGGATGGATGGCGGTTTAAAATGAAATAAATCTCATTTTTAGGTTATTTTTATTCACTAAAATGTACTTTATTTTTAATTATTCCCAAAAATAATTTTATAAATATTTTCTGATTTTAATTAAATTTTTACTTTAAATAATTTTTAAAAAATATTAGGAGCAAAAATGAGACACTTCTCTTTATTAATAATTTCATTTTACCTTCTATTTTTATTAAATATTGTATTTGATCGAACCCATGGCAAGCCTAACATGTCCAAGACTAAAATGAAAGAGTCTGTGTTGATGAATGGGTTCTTAGATTTTCAAAAAAATTTTTTAAATTAAATTAAAGACCAGTAAGACTTCAGCGAAAGCCTAGAGTGCCTGTTGCGGCCATGTACAGAGGTGTTGTGCACACTGGGGAAGTACATCGCCATAGGGTAAAATATAAAAATTTAAATAATTAATTTAACTAATTTAAAAAAGCGCCAACTAATAAATATTGGTGTGCCTACGCCTCCTCCCGTCCATCGTATTCCTGTGCCGTATCCATACCGTTCAAAATCTGAGACAATTAATGATAGTGTAAATGATCGTCTACCTTCGTCTAATCGTATAAGGGTAATTTAAAATTTTTTTTGATAATTATATTTAAATATTTTTAAATTTTTAAGCGACAGATCGTAATTCGTGCACCGACTCCACCTCCAATTCCCTCAATCCCTGGCGTTGGCATAAATCGACGAAAGGTGGAATTACTTCTATAAATTTTTAGACATTTCTAGATTCTAAAATAATTTTTTAAATTTATTTAAGAGTCGTTCTCTCACTCCAAGTGATCATTCTGCAATTACAGGCTCCGACCAGATGCAAATGATCCACCATAAATACGCTTATATCGTTCATAATTCTAAACAAGCTGGATTTTAATAAATAAGAGAATATTAGAATTTTTTAAAAATATTTTTAAAAAAATATTCATTTTAAATTTATTCGTCCATAAATAAAAAATAAATTCAAAACTTCATAGAAAGCGCATTTTAATTTAAAATAATTTTTATTTAAAAATAAAATTAGAAAACCACACACAAGGTTAATTATTAAAAATATAATTATCTCATTAATAATAAATTTTGAAAGACATTTTTATTTGTTAAAAAAGGGAGGAGGCATTTTAATTAAATAGCGGAGATAAAATAAAATTGAGAAAAAAAAGATAGCAAAATAAAAAAGGAATTTTTAAAATTAATTTAAAATCAGAATATATTCAAGTTTACAGACTAGCATACTCATTTATAAATAAAAAAAATCAAGTTCAAACTATTAAAGTAAGAAAAGTCAGAATTACAAATTGAAAATCAGAATAGCAGGTTTTACAAATCAGAATATGTAATATTATTTTATAAACTTAAATTACAACTTGAATTACAAACTTAAAATACAAATTTGAATTCAAGCTTGAATATTACAAACTTGAATATCAAATGTAAATCAGAAAACATCAAGTTTTACAAATCAGAATATTGCTAGACGTGCACTTAATAAAAATTACATTGTACAAACTTGAATATCACAAACTTGAATAATAAAATCAGAAAACATTAATATAAATCAAATCAGAATTTATATCAATTTAATAAACAAAAAACTTGAATACTAATCGCAAATCAAAATATAAAATTTTACAAACCAGAAATATTTTTTAAAAAACTAGATAAATTCCTTTTCTAAACATTTTGCTATCTTATTTTACAAGCATCTAAATTTTTAGAATAATTTACTAAAATAAAAATTAGAGTATTTTTCAATAGAAACAATTTTCTTGAAAAAAAGCTTATTAATAGAATAAAAACATTTTTATAAAAAAAATTTTTTGGATTGATAATTTTCTTCTCCTCTTTCTTCTGCTTCTTCATCATAAATTCCAATTTTGACACTGTGAGGATATTTTTAATTCCCTGAGGTTCTACTAGACTTTTACAATTATTTTTAATAATTGCAATTTTACAAACTTGAAATAGGAAAATTGTAAAAATTAAAAGAGAATATGTGAACATAAGCAAAGCAAAATTTAATTAAAATTTATTTTCTGGCGAGATAAAGTTTCAAACTTCCTGAGGTGTAGTGATTTTTGCGCGCAAGTATAGGTGCAATATAACAGGGATAGGACGGGTTGAGGGAAAAAATATCGGTTAGGAGGATAGGGGTTTTTGGATTGGATTTCGGGTTTCATATTTATCTTCGGATCGGGCTTCAAAGTTTCAAGTCGACAAAAAAGTCCGGCCTTCGAATAACCCATTCTATCCCTGCTATGTGTGAACTATAAAAAACAATTTTAGAAGAAGAATCGTTTTTAAGTCAAAAAATAAAAATTGGCATTTATAATGGGTTGTCCATAAATTGTCCATAAATATTGAAAATTCTAGATTTTAATGCCAACCCATTATAGAAAAAGAATCGTAAAAAATATTTTTGAATGTATTTTTATAAAAGTATTGAAAGACGTGGTAATTAAGAAAAAAATATTAATGGAAGAAGCAAAATAATATTAAATTTTGCTAATTTTACAAAAAAAGGAATGCAAAAACATGTAGAATATTAAACCTCTCTTAATCACAAACTTGAAAAGCTTGAAAACTTAAGTATAATCTTAAAATTCTGCAAATTTGAGACAAGTTTAAAGCTTTGCAACTGTAAAGCATATAGCTATTTAATTCCTATAGCTATGCAGTAGACGGCGTGATGTAATGGCTAACACATCAGTCCGGTCTACTGGAAGATGCTGGTTCGTTCCCAACCGTCAAATACTCCCAGCAGCCTTTTGCACTAGCTAAAGGAGAGAAATAGCTATAGCTTATGTTAGCTGCTTTACTCAAACTTAAAATTTAAAAAGGAATTAAATGTTTCTTTAAATAGGTTTATAAGAGAGAGATTTAACTAAATTAACAAAAAAAATTTCAAATTTCCTGAGAGGAATAAAAAGTTATGACGAGAATTGCCGCTGCATTTAAATTAGAAAATGTGTTTATAGAGTATTTAAAAATTGAAAAAAATTATTTTTTTACAAATATATAAGTAGAAATATTGAAATTTTTAGCAAAATATTAATGGATTAAGAATAAATATGGAAGTTATTAATGTGGAATTAAATATGGAATTAATAGGAAAGGGATTATTTACACCTGGACCGGGGAGGAATTCATTGAATTTAAGGGGTTAGGATATTTTTAAATTATTTTTTGATATTTTAGGGGAAAGGATAAAGTCGAAACTTGAGTTTACATATACACACATGAGGTTGAATAGTTGTACTAATTTTGTAAAAGTTGAGACCGAACTGGGAGAGCCGTATGAGAATCGAGTTAAGTAGCTCGAAGATTATCGAGATTTTCGGTAAGGATTTGGTCTCGGTACGATTTCTACTTAAAGGAATGTATCCATTAATGGGGACAACAAGTATGAGTAGTTCCTCCCCACCCTTATTGACCTTCAAAAAGATAGGTCATTTAAATTAGAGGGTATATGTAAAATCTAGGTTCGACTTTGTATATGTAAGATTATTAAAAATTAAAAAAATATATAATATTTTATATAAATCAAGAGGTATTTAATTCATGCAGCTAAATAAAATTAAAGAAAAAAATTAAATTTTGTAGCAAAATATGCCAAAATTTAGGCAATTTAAATATATAAAAGTACACAATTTAAATTATTGTTTAAGCTAAGGGTTTAAAAAATTCAAAAATTAAAATAAAATTATTTTTAAGCCTAAACAATATTGTAAATGATAATTAAAAAATGTACAGCTATATATGTTGTGGTAAGTTTGGGTAGGGATATTTAAAGGAAGACTTGAAATTCTTAAAAAAATTATTTTTTTGTTAAATAATGGAAGGCGAAGGGTATTTTTTAAAATTAAAAATAAATTACTAAAAATTAGGGGAAAATTAAAAAATTAAAAATAATTTAAAAGCAAGGAGAAGATGAAGAAGCATCCATAGGTTGAGAAGACAAAAGAGAAATATTCGAAGTATTTTTTTGATTATTTATTGGAGATAATTGTTGTTTGATATTTACAATTGTTGTTGGTTTGGATATTTCTGATGGTTGCTATTAAAGTTAAAAAATTAGTAAGAATTGTAAAATCAGAATTTTAAAAATCAGAAATTGTAAAAAATCAGAATTTTACCATAAATAAGAACCAAAGGATCAGAAACCAGAATTTTAGGAATCGGAAATTTTAATTAAAAATCAGAATTTGTAAAAAATCAGAAATTGTAAAAACCAGAATTCTTAAGATCAGAATTTGCAAAAATCATTGTAAAAATCAGAATTTTGATTGAAAATCAGAACTTAAAAAATCAGAATTTGTAAAACCAGAATTTTGGGGAACAGAAATTTTTCTGTATTTGTAATTTAAATTACAAATCAGAAATATTCTCAAAAAAGGAAATAGTAAAAAACCGGAAATCTATAACTCGTTAAATTCAGTATTAAAAAATCAGAATGATTTAAATTGTTTTTTAAAATTAATTTTTTAAAGAATATTTTTAAAAAATTTAATTTACATCATTTGTATCAATACTATCCCTGTCCGCATCCCCAGGACTTTGTTGATGTGTAATTGAAGCCTCTCCAGTTGATTGAGAAGATATTGTAGGAGAAGAAAGTGGGCAACAACCCAAATCTTCGTCCAATAATTCTTCATCCATTAATTCTCTCTCAACACTATTAATTTCCTCCTTTAAAGGGCCGTTATCCTCAGATATCTTAAATAAATATCAGCAAAAATTTTTTTTAATTTCGAGAAATCACCTCCATCTTTTCTACATTCGATGGTTGTGAAGTAATGCAAACAGTATTTTCTAATGTTGCTCCTAGGGGTGAATGATTACAACCATTTCCAGTAGCAACGTCGGAAATTCGAGAAGCCAATTCTGTCGCAGCAAGATTATTCTTTAAAAAATCAGAATTAATAATTATAAATATTTCATGAAAAATCAGAATTATCAATCGAAAATAATTTTATAATTGTAATTAAAAAGCAGAATTACAATTCTGATTAATTGTAAAGTCAGAATTATTAAATTGTAAAACCACAGAAACTTTTTTTACAGTCTAGAAGAATATTCTGATTTTTACAAATTCTGATTTTTACAAATTCTGATTTTTACAAATTCTGATTTTTACAAATTCTGATTTTTACAAATTCTGATTTTTACAAATTCTGATTTTTACAAATTCTGATTTTTACAAATTCTGATTTTTACAAATTCTGATTTTTACAAATTCTGATTTTTACAAATTTTGATTTTTACAAATTCTGATTTTTACAAATTCTGATTTTTACAATTCTGATTTTTACAAATTCTGATTTTTACAAATCCTGATTTTACAAATATCTATTTACAAATCAGAATAATTACTTAAATTAAAAATTAGAATTATTAAATTGTAAAACTTATTTTTAAGTTCGCAAACCAGAATATTAATTTTATTAAATTTACAATTCCCTTTTACAAACTTATAAATAAAATTAGAAATTAAAACTTGGAAAGTACAAACATTTATTTTACATTTCTGAATGCTCCTCTATTACTTAACTAAATTCTGAAAATAAATATTACCTCAAAATTCCCCAAAGCTGAATTTAATGAAAATTTCTGTTGTTGTTGATGGTATTGCTGTTGTTGTCTATTTGCTAATTCAACTAAAGCGTTTATTGTTGCTGCATCACAAACAGAATCATGTGTTCCGTGTGAATTATTTCCACTGTTAAATTGAGTAAAGGCTGATGTTGGCTGGCTGCCTAACATTAACGAAGGGTTATCTAAGCCTCCACTAGAAACAGACATGCCATGCCTGGAGTTGTGGTTTTTTCGAGCATGTCGAACACGACGGCATCTAAAAATAATAAATGAACAATGGGTTCTAGTAGGGCAAGTCTCCTCCCC